TTAAATGTATTACTTGGCTTTAATTTGAGTATGTTTTTCGCGTTGGAACGAATTATTTGGTTTTACATGTAATCGTATGGGAAAAGATGATCCACCTTACGAAATTTTCATGATACGATCTCAGTTTCGGAACGGATTAATTTCGTATCCTGAGGTACCACTGTATATTATTGTTAGCGCGAAATTAAACTCGTTTAATTGGTAAAACGTGTCTGTGTTTTCCTGTCCGCGCTATACAATTTCACAATCCGACCAACCCCAGTCCCCAATTGGGTCGGATAATCGAGGCTCTACTGTACCTCTTACTCCGTAACCCCGGCTGATCTCACATAGCGCATACAGTCAGTATCTGACCAGAATACAGGAACATACAGTCAGTATATGTATATAGCCAATTGCATATACAGTACATATCATATGTATAAATAGCCAATGGCATATATATACTGTATGTATAAATAGCCACATCCTATAGTTTTAAGCATTGGCAAATAAATATTATTGTAAAGTTTAGAGAACAATAGAATCCTCTTCTGTCATAAGATTTTATGTTTCTTTACTTTATAAATTAATTAATTGTTTTGATGTGAATAGATTAAATGATAAATTATTTTATACAAAGTTGGAAGGCTTTTAAATAAATTTTTGTCCAAAATCTAAATTATATATGAAGTAGACACTAATTACAGAATTTCTAATACTAATATCATAATTTTTATAAGTAGTTGGTGTAATTTTTAAACTTAAGTCTAAATAATTATCAATGTTTTATTATTTCTTAATGGAAATTTAAGAATTCTTATTTAAAATGTCAATTTTTATTATTATTTGTTTAATATGTGAATATGAAATTTTATGTTAAGAAATTATTATTATTAATATTTTTATTATGAGAAGCTGATGACAATATTATTAATAATGATTAAATTTTAATTAATAATTTATAATAAATCAATCCTAAATAAAAAAAATTATAATATATTTTTCTGAATTTGAATTAAATGATTAATATTAAAAATATATTGAAATTAAATATATATCAGATACTTNTGTATTACTTGGCTTTAATTTGAGTATGTTTTTCGCGTTGGAACGAATTATTTGGTTTTACATGTAATCGTATGGGAAAAGATGATCCACCTTACGAAATTTTCATGATACGATCTCAGTTTCGGAACGGATTAATTTCGTATCCTGAGGTACCACTGTATATTATTGTTAGCGCGAAATTAAACTCGTTTAATTGGTAAAACGTGTCTGTGTTTTCCTGTCCGCGCTATACAATTTCACAATCCGACCAACCCCAGTCCCCAATTGGGTCGGATAATCGAGGCTCTACTGTACCTCTTACTCCGTAACCCCGGCTGATCTCACATAGCGCATACAGTCAGTATCTGACCAGAATACAGGAACATACAGTCAGTATATGTATATAGCCAATTGCATATACAGTACATATCATATGTATAAATAGCCAATGGCATATATATACTGTATGTATAAATAGCCACATCCTATAGTTTTAAGCATTGGCAAATAAATATTATTGTAAAGTTTAGAGAACAATAGAATCCTCTTCTGTCATAAGATTTTATGTTTCTTTACTTTATAAATTAATTAATTGTTTTGATGTGAATAGATTAAATGATAAATTATTTTATACAAAGTTGGAAGGCTTTTAAATAAATTTTTGTCCAAAATCTAAATTATATATGAAGTAGACACTAATTACAGAATTTCTAATACTAATATCATAATTTTTATAAGTAGTTGGTGTAATTTTTAAACTTAAGTCTAAATAATTATCAATGTTTTATTATTTCTTAATGGAAATTTAAGAATTCTTATTTAAAATGTCAATTTTTATTATTATTTGTTTAATATGTGAATATGAAATTTTATGTTAAGAAATTATTATTATTAATATTTTTATTATGAGAAGCTGATGACAATATTATTAATAATGATTAAATTTTAATTAATAATTTATAATAAATCAATCCTAAATAAAAAAAATTATAATATATTTTTCTGAATTTGAATTAAATGATTAATATTAAAAATATATTGAAATTAAATATATATCAGATACTTTCAGTAGAATTAATTTTTAAAATTACCATAACTTTAGAAGTAAAATATTTGTATTTTTTGAAGGAAAACAATATTTAATTTTAATTATAACTCATAATTACCATTTAATCAAAACTGTTATAACCTTTCTGTTTAAATGTTTTAGATTCAGATAAACTGATAGTAATAAATCTGATAAAACTGATTAGGTTTAATAAAAAAAATAATAAAACTGTTTAGTTTTAATTATTAAATTTAATAAATTAATCAATAGAACAATTTGATCAATTGGTATTATTTAATATAAATAATTTAGATATAAAAATTATCGTACTGTTATTTCATTATCATTTGATATTTAAATAATGTCTGTTAATATTAAATACAATGAATTGAGTAGACAGGTCATGGCTCTAACATGCTGCAAACTCTGGCCATTTCTGTGGTCTGTAACTGGAATAGATTTCTAAGGTCTCAACCCCTCTTTGCTCTGCACAGTTATGGGTTGGTCATATTAAGTGAGCTCCTTTTAGGTTAATTTGATATCAAGTTTTAATGAAAATGCCATTAACAAGGTAAACAAGGTAACTAGAAGTCTTTTTTTATGGTGAACTTATGTTCCTTCAGTCAAGCCTGTAAGAACTATGATAGCTACAAAGTACTCTAAATCTTTGTTGAATCTGTCATTCCTGATGGAAATGCTGAACACAGCTGGGATCATAAATTTGTCCAACACTTTATCATTTTTGAGAAGTCTATAAATGGTTGGATTTTTATTATAACAAATCCTGATGTTAGTGTTCCTGAATACAACCAACCCAAAATTGTGCAGAGTTAAGAGGGTTTAAGACCTTAGAAATCTACAAGTCTGCAAGAAAATTCAAATGAATAAATGCAAAAATGCAGAGTATCTCTTTGATGCATGGAAGGTCTGCTATAACATTCCCTAACTCAAGTACCGCCATCTCATGATATCACAATTTTGCCAGTTTAAATAAGTTTGGATCTTGATTGAAATTTAGTATTCCAAAACATTAATTCAGAATAAATTACAATTTGACTTCTAAAAATGTTAGGTGTTTTTGTGTAATTTAAAGCATTGAGAGATGAAGCTAAATTTATAGTTATAGATACTGCTTTAATATAAATGATTCAAGTAAGAAATCTCAAACATTTTTGGGCCTACTGAGTCATTTTCAGAGAAACATAGTTAAATAATGCAATATTTTTAAAATTATTTTCTATTTTTCTTACAACTATTCTTTGTATACATTCATTGTTTTTATTAATAATACACTGTTATCAAGTTATCAAAGAAATGCAAATTTAGGTTTGTTTGAAATTGTTTCTTTAATACTATATTATTTCACCATATTTAAACTCTGATTTTATTACTAGAAAAACAGAAATGTGTTTAAATAAAATTTTTACTATTTGATGTGAATAGATTAAATGATTATTTTATATAAAGTTGGAAGGCTTTTAAATAAATTTTTGTCCAAAATCTAAATTATATATGAAGTAAACACTAATTACAGAATTTCTAATACTAATATCATAATTTTTATAAATAGTTGGTGTAATTTTTAAACTTATGTCTAAATAATTATCAATGTTATGATTATATGTAGTTTATTTTTATAAAAGCATTATAAGTAAATTTATTTTTAAATTTGTTTTATATTTTACTTGATTCTGATTATACTGATTTATTTATATTTACAGAATTTCATCTAAATCCAGAATTATATACTCAATTGAGACAATTGAGGAAACAAACCAAAGATTTAAAGTTAGAAGTACGTAATTTACGGCGTGTTGCTCAAGCTCAAGCAGTTACTGCAAAAGAAACAGTTAGAGATACTTGTCTGAAAATAAAGGTAATAATTTAAAATCTGTAATAAGTTTGATGTTCTTTATTGTTTAAATATTTATAATATATATATACTGTAAAACTTATCAAAATTAATGACTTTCTTCTAGCAGTCCTAATTTTATTCTGTTAAATGTTTTTTAAGGGACTCTTCTTTCATCTTTAAAACTTTTTGAAAAAATTATATATTAATGAACAGTTTCATAAACATTTAATAATTAGTTAGCACATTCATCTAAAGTAAAGAACAAATGTTTTTAAAATTATGAAAAAACAAGAAATGATAAAAAAAATTTATTTGTTAGTGTCTTAGAACAGTTTTGTAAAGTGATAATGCTTCATTCCAATTAAACTATAAATAGTTTTTGAATTAACTTTGTATATATATATATATATATACATACATCAATGTATAAATATATATAATGAGTTTAATGTTAAAACAACAGCAAAAAATATATATATATATAAAACATTCAACTTTTTTAATTTTCTTTTTAATTCTATTCCATTTGTAACATTATAATATTGTGTATAAATAGGATTGCTTCTATTGCCAATGTAGGCATCTCTAATTCCTTCTGTTTTAGTTTTTTCTTAAACTTTTTATCATACAGACCCATGAGTTAATTTCTATAGTTTCTCTTCTTTTGTTTAATATTTCCTTTCCTTCTTGTTCTAGTGCTATATGCAATTCTTCTGCTATCATCAGTGGACATCTTACTTCATCTTTTTGGATGATTTCCATTGACCTCCAGTTAACTGTAAGTTTTTTATTTAGCACTGCTTCTGCTAATGCCATAGTTTTCTCCTCATTTTATATCTCGATGTTTCAATCCTAGCCTGGAAGGTTTTTCTCAATTTCTTATATAACACATAGTGACAAAAGCATTTAATAGTATGAAATTAGAATTTTTTGAAATGGGTCATTAATTTTGATAAGTTTAAATAAAAAGTCAATGTGTTGAATTTTGGTGTCATAAAATTACTAACACTTTATAGAATACAAATTTTAATAATTTATAATTGTTATCTATTGGTATTAATAAAGAAAAAAAGGCAGAATGTTTCACTACATACTATTAGTACATGTCTATAGAAGATTTTTAGGCCAATAGTTGAATGGACCATTAATTTCAGAAATGATATATTAGAAAAAGACTGTGTGACTAACATCAGGCCAGTTTTTTTCTTCATTCTTATCATTGGCAGAGATTACTCCAGATGATCATTTGGTAGAGGGTTGAGCACTTTACAGAAATAGATAAGAAATGGCACTGAAGGAAAAATTTTTTACTTTCTAAGATATAAATTTATATTATTATTATTATTATTATAGTGCTTGAGCTATTGAAGATCTGTTAATATTAGTACATTGTTTAAAGCTGTATTATTAAATTATAACAATTGTAAATTTATAGTTACATTTGTGAAATCAACCAAAAACAAATTTTATACAAATTGTATTATGGCAATATATGCAGTATGTTGTATATTTTTATATTCAGATAGTATTTGGGTCACAAAATCTCAACTTCTAGCAACAAGCCTTATATAAAAGCAGTTTCTCAAATTTGCTATTAATTTATGCCAACTTCCAATATTTGTTCATTCGTAGAAATTAGTGCAATAAATTTTTTGTTTATTTAAATTAATTTTCCTTTGAATATTAAAGTAGGAATTTATTTCTCATTTATTATTTTTTGACATTATGAATATTTGATAATTCATAATGTCAAAAGAATTTTTGTGAAACTATAGCCTACTCTGAGTTATACAAGTAAAGATTTCAGATTTCAAAAACAATTTTTAGAAATTTTTCATAAAATTATTAAAGGCAAATCTGAAGAGAATAATATATTAATTATAATTTTTATATGATTTTTAATGAATAATAATCAAACTTAATAGTATTAAACCAGATAAAATTAACAGTTTATGAATGAAATGCTACAAAACATATGAAGAAACATTTTGTAGCATTTCATTTTAACTTTTTCTTAGAATAAAAATGCTAATAAGTATTGAAATTACAAACTTTTATAATTATTTAAAATATATTTTAGGACTGTTTTTTATTTAATCTTTTATATGTTATGTATGGAAGGTTAACTTAAAAAATAATACTACTTAATAAAAATGAGTATTATCAGACATAAACATTCACTATTTCAGATTACATTTAATTAATTGTCATAATTTGACAAAAGGTATTAAATTAAATTAACCTTAAATTAATATAAATTAAAAATAATCTGGCAGTTTATACGTATGTTAAATAGTTGGTTCAGACTTTAATTGGACTTTGTATTGTATATATGTGAAAAGAATATTCCAAATTAAATATGAATTTAACTATGAATGCTTTTAAATATGGAACATTTGAATAACATTTTAAAAAACATATATAACCTAAATGAATTAAATAATAGTGATCATTACATGTACAGTATATGTAGAATGTCAATTGGTTTGTGCTTTTGCAATATTTAATTAGTGCATCTAATTTGGTTTTAGAATTAGTAATTCTAGGGTTGCATGAGCTGGATTCAATGTGTTCACTGGAACCTGGTTTCACACATATAAAGACCCGTGGTTTATGAAAAGTTCATTATAAAATTTGTGATGCTCTATGCTTAGTATCATATATGTATAGAAAATTCAATTGCAGAATGCACAGTTAAAAGCTAAACTAAGAAAAGTAAAAAAATATGTAGTTTACCTACTTTACCCTAACTATAACTTGTAAAATAAGAAATTTACACTGGCCTTAACCAAGATCCTGCATGAAAAAAAATCATAAAATATGAGAAGATTGATCAATGGAGTGTGACTGGTCAGGCTGGAGTATGACTAAATCAGGTTTTTTAACCATCAAGTTAGATATCATTCTTTCTTTGTCTTGCTTATGTATATGTTTTAAATTCTCTCTTTCTTAAAAAAAAAAATGACTTTTATTTATGAAGTAAAATATTGTATTTGAAATTTGAGAGAGAGAAATTTATTTTCTGATGTATTATGTAGAAAAAAAGGAATAGGCATTCTTGTTTCCAAGAACATGTTCTAGGTTGTAAGAGATACATTTCAGTTTCTTGTAATTAAAAACTTATATTTTCACACAAAATAAATTTTCATTAAAAGTGAAATGGAAAGAATATGTGTACAATTATTAGCATATTGAAAAATATAGGTGAAAAGTTTGAAATAATTAAAATTCTATAATATGCCAAATTTAAAAGATGTTCCAGGATAGAATGATACATAAAGTAATTTTGGCTTTTTTACTTAAAAGAAGTAAAAAAGCAAAGATAAAGGATTATTTGATGAGTTTATGCATTTTAAGTTTGTTTCTAAGAAAATGAAGGATAAATTGATTAACTCATAGAAAGTGGGTTGAAAAGTATTTCAGTCAGTGCAATAGTTCTAAGATACACACTGAGATTTTAAAAATTACTCAGTATATAGTTTTTATTTTTGCACAATATAGAATAGAGTGTAATTTTCAATAATTGGAAATTAATGGATGAACATTAGAAATGAAATGGAAAGAAATACTGTGAATAGTATTTTGTATGTTACTTACAATATAAAAATGAATTGTAAAATCATTTTATAATTAATTTAATTAGTGATGTATATTCCACTGAAAACTGTAGACTAGAAATAGATATTGTAATCCACACAGTTTTATATTCTTCATCTCCAAATTTGCCATTGGAAACATAACACTTAACCTGTAGGCCATTGAAAATCCATTTAACCTGGTGTCATCTCAAACATTCTGTTTTTCCTTGTTTCTTTTGATCTATTTGAGCTGCAATTTGAAAAATTGTAGACTTAAATTTCCACTGTCGTCTGTCTGTTTTTTCTTAATCTCAAGAACAGAGTTAGATAGATGAATATGATCTTGTGTTACTGATAGCCCTTTCTTAAGGTGGCAGTGGCATCACTGTTTCATCCAGTCCCATAATTTCTCCAAACCTTAACACATTGGCATTCTAAAAAGATTTTTTGCCTTAAAATTTATGTATATATTTATGAAGTTAACTGTACCATTGACATACAAACACAATAAATTCTAATTCAAACAGAATTGAAGGAATAGTTAATATTAACCACTAACCTAGCTACAGGAAATCCTTGTTAATTCAAAATCAGATAGTTTGAAATCTCATTAGTTTATAACTGTACTTTTGTCCCAGCCACAGATATATAGATTTACATATTAAGGAATTCTGTTAGTTTGAAATATGGCTACTTTGAAATTTGAAGTGAAAATTCTGTCCAAACTCATATGCATATGTTAACTCATTCATTTACATCAAAGTGCCTCTATGCTGTAAGGGAACAATAAAGCTCTAATCTGGGCAATATGGCTTTACTTTTACAGTAACACATTTTCAGTTGTCATTTTACCCATGGACTACTCTTTTTTTTTTCTTATCTATACTAATATTATAAAGAGGTAATGTTTGTATGTAAGTAAGTTTGGATGCAGCAGGTAATCTCCAAAACTACTCATCCGATTTCAAAAATTTTTTCACCAATATTTAGAATGGAACTTCAGGGTGGACATAGGCTGTATATTATTCCGTTAAACATGGGGGATGGACAGTTCTTTACGGTAAGCCTTACGGGGAAGGCTTACCGTAAAGAACTCTGCTTCTATTTATACTATTTTAGATGCGGTTTTTTGCATTTTTGATTGCATTTTAATAGAGTACGTCAACACAATGTATACTAAGAAGGGATTTTTCGATATTTTCCCCGCGGGGGAGAAGGACAAGATTAAGGTTTACTGTGAAAAACTTGGCTTCTATTATACTATTTTAGATGCGGGTTTTTGCACTTTTGATTGCGTTTTAATAGGGCACGTCAAGAGAATGTACACTAAGAAAAAATTTTTCGAAAAATTTTCCCCCCACAGGGGAAGTGTTATACATTTATAATAGATACATTTTGAGCCACAACAAAGCGTGGTGGGGTCTGCTAGTCATAATATACAGC